TTACATGAATGAACGACAGAAGCAAGGCAGTCGGACACCCCAATTCATATTGATTTATCTAGAGCAAGTTCAAGGGTAGAGGTAACCTGAGATTGTTTGAGCGAAATAAGGTGACGATAGGAAAATAGTCGGTCATAAGTTACAGGTTTATTGTAACAGGTTTATTATAACCAAAGGACACGAAACACTAGTAGATAAATGTCAAAAAAGAAGATACTCGACTAGTTTTAAGCCATGCTAGAGCGACGCGGCGACTGTTGCGCTGTTACTGGTAGTTAGTCGGAATGCTGCTCATGAATATGGGCCCCTAGCATGGCTTGAAATAATTCTAATACCTACGCAATAAGTCCAGGCTTCGTCTCCTGTTTTCCTTTACAAAACTATCGCATTGTTACTCGCAAGGTTTCCACTGACACCGACGTACGACGGCGGCGTGTAGTACATTGCAGTAGCAGTTCGCATCATGGTCCGTGCAAACGCAGACATGTGAACATTATGAGTAATGTATGACGAACAACACGATGCGATGCGTACGCCTATACGAGGCTTGAGTATCCGGGATCCACAACTTTGTTGTGTACAATGTTCATTTAATAAGATTATTATAGAAATACACATTTCTGTTATAAATTATTAATACTAATTGTTGATTACTGGAATAGAAAGTATAAGTGTGGGAGAGTCATGCTTCGTCAAGAATGGGACAGCTCGACCGGACTGAAGCAACACGTTGTACTCCGCCGTGTTTGAGAGGTTAAATGAGGCCTAATCTCTCCACCCTTTCCTCAAACTTCAAACCCCCAATCCCTAATAGTGCCATTAGAGGCCGGTAAAGCAATTGTAGTAACTCCTTTGGTATTTCGAGGGTTCATGGGCGGCGCTGATTGCTTACCACCAGGTAGTCCGTCTGCTCGTTTGCCGACTTATGACAATGTTAAATTAAACGCTATATATAGAGGGCGCTGACGCAAACTTTATTTAAGATGTAATTACTTAGTGCAACAGTATTAGTTTCGGAATTTGTAACTAGATATCTTTATGAAATATGTACACTCGATTGTTGTAGGTGACAGGTCGAACAAAGAGCGTCTTTGTGCTGTCCATTGTATCCATATATAGGTACAGAGATTTGTTTTAATGTCTAGACTTAGTACTTATTCTTCTTAACATTATTGTAAATGCGAAGGTGTATTTTTGACGGAGAGAATTTTTTTGCTCAACTATGAGATTGATGTTTCAAGCGAGCTGTTAGTAACATTTACATAGTTAAGGATATTAGTAATCTGTAAATACAATTTTAGCCAAGACTTTCTTCTGATTGTCTATTGGCTACTAGGGTCATTCGTATACCAAAAACTGTCTTTCCAAAATTTACTTTGGTGTCTAGATATATTTTAAAAAGTTAATAAATGTAGGAGACCTAATATCCCTAATAAACCTCAAAAGGCCAGCAACACACTTGTAATAATTCCTTTGGTATTACGAGTGCCCACGGACGGTGCACATTGCTTACTATCAGGTAATGGTCTTCTCGTTTTTCGATCAATGACATAAAAAGAACCAACGTGTAAACCATATTCTCGTTTTAAATAACTTAAAAAATAACATTCAGAAAGTAACAATTACCGTTACATAAAATCAAATCTTAACTGATAAAGAAAGCTATAGTCTAAAAATATAGAATCAATATCAGAACCAATATAGAAACAAGACAGACAAAAACATTGCTAGGTGCTCGGCTTTATAATATAATAAATACCAAAAACCACCCCCGTAACGTTGGGTCGTGCCAGACACTGTACAAGGGTAAACAAAAGCGCTTTCTCCAATTCAAAGAGGTGTACATTTTATGAGCATAAAATAAAATTCTTAAACAGTGATCCCAACAAAATTATTCAATGTAAAAGCAGCCATGTCTCTATACGCACTGTTTCCATCGTAAAAAAAATTGAGATCCCATAGAAGCGAAGTCCTTTTAAACTTAATCCAAACTATAATATTTTAAATGCGAAAGTAACTCGGTCTGTCTGTCTGTCTTTTCTTCACGCCTAAACTACTGAACTGGATTCTGTGAAATTTGGTACAGAAATAGTTTGGAACTCGAGAAAGGATATTAGATAGTTTCTTTCCCAAAAATCTGCTGTAGTCACCACACGAACAGAGTTGCGGGCAAAAACTAGTTTGAAATAATAAATAAATATTTAGTGACAATATTCGTTTTATTTACATTATATTAACAGTGACTATATGTAATAAGTTACTATAGTACTCCGGTTGAGCAGACGCGTTCGTGCCGAAGCTTGCTTTTCCTAGGCTTTAAATTAAATAGGACTGGAAACAGCGTTATTCATAAACTTGAACCTTTTGTTCTGCTAAGCGTTGTATGTATTACTAGCACAAGTACCTCAGATGTCTGTAAGGAAAGTTTGGAATAAATAATTATTTATGTAATATTCATTCAACAACGCGAGAATTGCTTCCCAGTACCCAGAATTCTCATTAAATAAAAATAAAAGCCCTCCTTTGTGGGTGCAACGAAAATTGAAATTCTGTGAAAACTAATTGCTTCATGCCCTCCTGTATTCTACAATATTTGAGTGTACATAGTGTGGGTGTGTACTGTAATTTACGTATATATATGCTTTTAAATTAAACAAATACGTATAACCAAAATAAAACAAAGAAATTCGTACACAAGTAGGAACGTAAACTGAGTTAGAATAGATCGAAATCAAGCAGAAGGATTACCTGATTGTCAGTAATCAGCGCCACCCATAAACGAGGGATTGGGGAAGGGGAAAGTTTGGGCCTCCAGTAACCTCACTCACACGGCGAAACACAACGCTGTGATGGTTTCACGCCGGCTGTGAGCCCGTGGTCAAGCTAACCCATTCGTGCCGAAGCATGGCTCTCCCACACTAAATCCCACACGTGGCCAATTATTACGCAATATAAGGCTAATCCACTCTGTAATCTGACCTACTATGAGACGCTTTCTTTGCCCTTTATACACGTCTTTATAATGGATTGAATTGCATTTCTTGTAATTTATATTCAGGATAATCTGAGCCTTCAGTTTAATGCGTTTAGTTCTTATTTCACGTCTGCAGAATTCTGAAAAGCTTAGTAATTGTATACTCATATTTTTTTTCTTTGTAATTCAGCATCTTTGGGTAACATGTACTCCAACAGCAGTTGTTATATGTCTTAGGAATAATATAATTATATTGAAATATTTAAGCATTGTATAGTAGTTTAGTAAGCGTCACCATTGACTTTAAACATGCAACGCAATCACTACTTTAGTTCATAAATAATTGATGTTATTATACTATATTTCGAATTCATACCGAGAGGACACAAAGCGTGCAAAAGTAATAAAGGATGAAGCCGGACTCCTACTTGTAGCTTCCACAATTCACCAGAAGTTTGTCTAGACGTAGCTAAAAATTGGTGTAGCACACAACAATATCGGTCTTCTGTTCTAGTAAAAAGTTTCCAAATTAATTCATTTATAGAATAAAGATTATAATATAAAACCTTTTACGGGGTCTTAGTTAGGTGAGAAGAGCTGAAAATCGATGCCAGTGGATCAATTGGGGAGGCCTATGTCCAGAAGTGGACGAAATCAGGATTATGATGACTAACCTCCGGTTTCCGAAAGGCCGATCAATGTTAAAATCAATTTAATCTCTTTTCAAGTCATCTGATCGGTTGACTGAATTATCAACAACCAATCATATGACTTGACAAGAGATTTGACAGGAGATTAGTTAATTTTAGCGTTGACAAGACATTCAGAAACCGGGTGTAAATTAAGCAATTTATGAAAACATAGAAACAAAAAAAATATTTTTGTAAGTAGGCCATAAAACAGCACTTTTACAGGACAAAATAATATGTAAAAAACTAGACGGAACCGGCATTTCCTTTGGAGGTAACAGATTTATAATAGCATTTATAAGTACATTTATAAGTAAAGTACTACATTTATAAGTAAACAATAGCAATATAGCTGATCAAGTGCATTCCGAAACATTAACATCAATAAAGCTACTCGGAAAGCGATATAATTTATTTTATTGTTCTCGCAAAATCCTTGTGATGGGATATAAAATTTAATCAAAATAATGACTTTTAATTTTAAATGGAACACAAACATATTTTTAGGGTTCCGCGCGAAGTATTCATTCAGAAAGGACAAATGATAGTTCGGGCACGTATAACCGTCAAATATTAATTGATCTTTTAATGAAAGATCAAAGATTTATGCTTTTAACATTGTAGTCTCTTTAGTAGTTGAGAGTAAATTGATCATGTTAAAAATCATATTAATCGTTACAAAATCTTCTACGTGGTTTTTTGAAGTAAAAACTTCTTTAGCTTCTGAGCAATTTTTGTATGGGTAAAAACTTTCAAACTCGCGTCAGGGTCACGTGATGCTGATCGAAAAAGCGTAAGATCGAGGGGAAAGGATAAGAAATAATATCTTCCACTCTTTCTACTGTGCCTGAGTGCACTCCGTTTAGGCGGCACAGGGCGCTTGCGCGAATGTCCGCATGTGTACAGCGTGCCACGCGTATCCAAGGATACAGGTGACAGGCTAAAGGCTTAACTATTGTGTATTCGTATATGTGAATTGTTTAAATTATGGAAATTGAAAAAATTGCATCTGTTAATGAAAAAAGTGATGATGAAGTAGTGAAAAAAATTAGTGAGTACTTTATAAATACACTAGATGAAAATCTCTCACTTTGCTTTAGCTTTTTGTGAGGGGATTATCATCAAATTTTTTTGTATGGGGATTATCATCAAATTACTTTTCCCGCCCAGGTTAGGGAGGGGAGGGGGTGTCAGACACTTACTAACTAAAAACAACCCCTGTTCCTTCTCCTGCTCTGGGCCGAGGCCGCCGTGCCTCATTGTGCTTGCCCCGCAACCACGGCTGAACATCAGCCCTTTAGGTCCCCGTCTGTGGTGGTCTATTGGCCCTTTGAACGCTACGCGCCATACACTCGGGTCTGGTTCTGATCGGGTGGCGAGTCACCCTTACTCGCCGTCCTCAGATCCGCGCTTACGGTGGCCGGAGATCGTCTCTCGATCTTCGAAATGATAAAGTGTCATTAAGATAAAAAATATTGTTATATATTATGTAAGGTTATAAATATTATATGCCACGTCCAATGGGAGGTAGTTTTGTGTTTACAGTACAAAGGTGAACGAACTTCGTAGCCCGGAACAGTAGATTCAATTTGAAAAAGCGAACAAGTTAATTATCATTGCAGCATTGGCTCTATTCTGCGTACATTGGTTCACAAAACGGGCCTGTGGTGACGCTTTGGCAATCATAAAAAACTGTTCTATATATGGTGCGAAACAGCAACAGCCTGAGTGGTTTACTACTAAGTAACGAATTAAGCGAATAAGTTCTTATTGTATGAAAAAAAATGTGTTTATCAACGTATTACTATCTCTCATTGCAACCGTGGCATATGTTTCAATTGCACCTGAAATAATACAGCATTACTGAACGGTTTTAGAAGTTTATGGGCAACCGGCTGGAATAACTCTTCGTGCGATCCACAAATTGTACCGGGTCTATGTGTGATTCGTTTTGAATTTGTATGTTTGTTCGACAAAATGCACCCACGAAACAGGATACAATTATTATTCTGAAGTGGGTTTTTTTAAACATTATTTTATGGTCCGTTCTTTGAATTACATAAACAGACGAAATTAAAATCGGCCAAGTTTGTCTGTTGTAACCCATGTTTTTTAAACAATGAAATTGAACTTTTTTTTTAAATACACAGCGAATTAGAACCCCTTCTTTTCATAATATAGTTTAGAACATTCCGTGATGGAAAACAATATTTTAAATTGTAAGTTACGTCTTGTGTTACGTAAACAAGCTATAAACTAATAAACAAAAAATCCCTATTGTTACTAATGCGTAATTTATATGTAATGATAAGTTACACATCTATTAGGAAAGAAGTCAGTGCTGCACTAACCATGGTAAGTGGGCTATAGTTTGATCCTATGACATCTTAAGGCGTAGTTTATCGAGACGTGTCGCAGCGATGCCTTAAACATTCGTTTGTACATCTATACTAATATTATAAAGAGGTAATATTTTTAAGTTTGTACGTTTGTAAGTTTGTAAGTTTGTATGTAGGGGATAATCTTTGGAACGGCTGGTCGGATTGTCAAAATTCTTTCACTGATAGATAGCTACAAAATTACTGAGTGCTATATATATATAAAGTTAAGTCGTGGTGGCCCGGAGGTTAAGGAGCCCGCTTCTCATGCATGAGGGCGTGGGTTCGAAACCTGGCAAGTACCAATGTGACTTTTTCAGAGTTATATGTACTTTCTATGATTATTTAGACACCATTGACATACGGTGAAGATAAACATCGTGAGGAAACCTGGACTTATAATTTCTAATTATAAGTTTGAAATCGCCAACCCGCATTGAGCAAGCGTGGTGATTAACGCTCTAACCTTCTCCATATGAGAAGAGGCCTTTGCTCAGCAGTGGGCACTTAGAGGCTTATGATGATGATGATATATATAAAACATCACGCTACGATCAAATGGAGCCGAGTAGCGGGTGAAACCGCGCGAGAGTAGCTAGTTGCTTATAATTATGTTCGTGTCTGCGCGAGCTATGACGCGATTTACTGTATTGGACTACCACACGTTTCTGTAAAAGCCTAAGTAAAGTCTCAAGGCGGTCACAACAGCCTTGAGACTTTACTTAGACCACGTTTGCTTGACTCAACAAAGCTTGCACTGCAACTACCAAGTGTAATATCTATTTTATTTTACTTAATACTTTACAAAAACATATTTGTATAAGGCAAATTTAATGCCATAGGAATTTTGTGCCAGTCGAATCTTCGGGTGATGTAGAGATTCGTTAACGGTAGGACGAAGAACCCAGCAAAATTACCAATAATATATATTTTGTGCACTTACATAAATACTATTCAAAATAAATATATAAAAGTATGTTTGAATCGGAAATCAACTTACATAATTATAATATTAACATGCACTCCTTTTTACAATATCACAAAAATACGATTACTTAACATAGTTAAAAAAAAAATATGAAATTACAAACACACATACCTACATACATCAACTAAACGTCCTATGCACTGCGATATGTGTATGTCAATCAACAATCCGTGACAGTAAGCTGCGGGACAATAGGCTTTATTCTAAAATAGACGGACAAGTTGGAGATTGTTGGTTTAACAAAGTTTATATTTGCAAGTTTAGTAGAACACAATGCTGCCGGGCTCCTTTCTTTTAAATATAGCTTTCTTTTTTTTGCTAACGGGGGAAGCGTTCAAAAGGTGCCTTAGCTTTTAGGATAAAAGCTAATAGGCACCTTTTGAACGACTTAATAATAATAACGACTAATAGACTGTGGGATTGTCACTTGTCCGGTGGCCACCATCGACTAATGTAAAGGACACCCGGAGTCCCTACTTACGCCTGCACGTCGATTCTATAAAATTTGTTTGATTTTGAATCGTGTTCGAGTGCGAAGTGAGCGTCGAAGTAACGGGGAAATTAAATTTTAGAATGCCACTTTTAACGTCATTTCATACTTTATCTTTCAAAATGATGTTGTCAATTTAGTTCAGCTCGCAAGTGTAGCGCTAGTGTACTACTACTCACGGCGGATTCAGATTCGAAGTTTAGAATGAAGTCTTACAGAATCACACTGCTGTAACGGCAAATTCTTGTCGAGACGTGCGTAACCTCTGTAAGCCTCGCTGTAATGAGAAGACGTTAAAAATGGCATTCTATAATGTAATTTCCCTGTCACTTCGACGCTCACTTCACACTCGAACTAGATTCAAAATCAAACAAACTTTATAGAATCGACGTACAGTATAACTATTAAAAACACAAACACGGTATAGGTCGACGTTATGATACTCTATAACTAATTTCAAGTTCAGTCATACAGTTTTAAATTCACCCTTCGCTGGGATTCCTCATTAATTATTGTTCCCCATTCATAAGCTCGTTGCTACCGAAGGGAGAAGAGATGCAGTTCATAATGAAAAGGGTCTCAAAAAGCCAAATTTTAATATCAATCTGTCTGCAATGTTGTTATAACATTTGACAAAGTAATAATTTAATGCGACTTTAACAAAGAAAAGGATTTATTTCAATGCAGCCTTTATGTTCAAGATTTTTTGGTTTGGTTAATGGTTATATTAGAAGATACTAATTTAGTTTGATTCATTTTATGTTTTGGTAATGTCTTTCTTTTTTTCGAATAGGAATTATTGGAGGACATATACATATTTTAATAACTACTTACTCGTAATGATTAAACGAAAAAAACTCGATTAGCTTCTTATCAAAAAGGGAAATTTTCACTTTTTTTCAATGAATATTTATATAAGTAGTTACGCATTTTAAGGGTATCTAAATGTAAAAGAGCGGAACTCTTTTAGATTAGTAATGTCGCCGATACTAAAAAAAACTAAACGTTTGTAGATTATATATCTATTATCTTTCCATTCGTTTATTACAATCACTTTTTCCGAAAACTATAAATACTACTCTGTTGAAACTATGTAAGTAAATGTATTCTATGAATAAATAAATCCGTTTTAAAATTTAAAAATTGAAACCAATATTCCAGTTCCATTTTCACTTAAAAGCATTATTTTGTACCGTACTCATACGTGTGGCGTGTCAATAGAGGTCCTAAAAATGAGGTTTGTATCTTTTTTTTAACCATAAAGCCAGTGCGGTTAATTCTCCTAAGCTTTAAAGTTGAGCCTTATGTAAAAAATTACCATACAAACTCCCTGCACATATTGATTTCAGCGAGATGATATACCTAAATTTGTTCAGATTTTAATACATCACAAATTGTTAAATCGCTTTCATTGCCGAGTCTAAACCGACTTGACCACTTTTCGTTTATAGCGGGCTTATCTAATTTATCTGATGGCTATTAGCGAATTAATTTATCGATTCAAAAAGGTATTATGTCAGCCATAATAATTTGTTGAATATCAGTGTCAATCGGGGTGATGAAATGGTATGCACGAAAATCTAAAATCGAATTAATCCGTTTATAGAGTTGCGGAAAAACATTCGAACTTTTATACGACAAACTAAAAATAAATAAATAATTATAAATCTGTTCTCAAAAAACATCTGTTGGATGACATGGGGAATTGAACGTGGTGATGTACTTGTCTATTCAATTCTCACACACTTACTATTGATTGTATTGTAATTCTTTATTGTATAATTCGTCAGCAATTGTATTGAGATCCGATTTCCGTAGCATAAGGACAAACCTCAGTGGTTTATTTGTGCTATTGTAACAGAAAATTGTATGTTTTTATGTTTTGGTAATAAAGGGAAAAAAACATATTTTTAGTTTTAACTATTTTAAGGCGCAGTAAAAATGTACATTTTGATTTCGGACTCTATTCGAAAGACACTTACAAGTGTGTACTTATAAAAAAACGATACTCAGCAAGACGAATTTAAATTAAGGATTGGGACATCACGAAGTCACATCTCAGTATAAAAAGTACTCAATCCTAACGTCATATGACACGGTACAAATTTAAATTATTTAGGAAAATAAAATAACCAGTCTAGTCTTTTAAGATGTATACTAAAATTATCAGACTAGTTTTTTTATTAGGCTGACCAAAAACATAATTATGTAGGTATCTTGTTCAATACATAGTTACAAAATTAACTCAAATACTAGTACATCAATCTCTTATAAGTTAGAACTCAAAATAAGATCATACCCCGCAACGGAAAAAAATATTAATTTAAAATGTACACACCATATCATAATAAAATAATCAAATAATATTTGGAAGAATAAGGAAAGTCATTTTAAAGTAATTTTTGTAGCCTAACATCAATATCTGCTTTCTTTAACCATAACACAGCGTGTCAGACCCTCATTCTGTCAAACAAGTTCCAATTTAATGAAGATAAAGCTAAATTAAAATGATGGTATTCTTTGTAGAAACACGTAGCACGTAGCGCGTAGCAAAGTGTAGACATCTGCTACGCCACCACTGCCGTAGGCTGGCATTAACGTCACTGCAGTCAATTAATTATTAGTTGTCTCCTCGCTTTGTATCTTATTGACTCTTAATCTCTTTATTAATTGCTTTTAATGAATTAAGTGGTTAATTCTGTAAAGAAATGTATTTTTTTAAGTATGATAGAATATTAAACTAAGTAAGGTATTGTAAACTAAATTAGGTACTTACTTATATTGTTTTATTATATTAGGTATAAGTCGTTTAGTGATCGATCGAATGCTTCGAATTTATATTGTTACCTAATAGCTTAAATTTCAGCCTATAACGGTATATGGAGGGCGGGTACCTGAAAAAACCTTTCAAGCTTAAACAACCTGTTGTTATGAAGAAAAACTTGGCTTGCTGCCAACCAAACAGCTTGCTTCAATTCCTACGTATTTCAAATTAAGCTGAATGAAAACCAAAACAGTTAAAGTAGTAAGCGAACTGACGCTTACTTGTAAGCGGATTTTATTGTACGCGTGATGTCAACTATATTATAGCTGTCGGCAGCCACCATGGTAGCATGGCTACTTAGTACTTTATTTCTACTTTCCATTATTTACAAGCACTAACACCATAGTCCAAATATGAAAGTTGTTCGGTAAATTTCGTCTTGTTAGTAGCTACGCGGCTGAAATTCACGACATTGCCAATTTCAGTAATGGTAACCAACGAAAATATATTTATATACAGTAGTCAAAAATCTTCGCGGTTGGTCGCCATGGTTACGCCCTCGTGCCCTAATGGTCGTAGGCGTTCGTGGATTGGCTACGTTGATACGTATTGTATCAGGGTTACATAAGTCGGCTACTTATGTAACTTTATCCAGTAAGACTTTTGTCTCAGCTAGGTTAACGCCCTTAGCTTTTTGTCTTACGCGTTATTTGTAGGGACCGTTCAACCATCGAACGGTGTGGCCACGAACAGACAGCGGACTCTTGTTCGAAATATAATATTTTTTAAATTTTGTGTTTTACTATAATATTTCTATTTGTATTTTTGAGTAAGTGTATTTTAGTGCTTCAGTCTGTCGACAAAAACTGTTGAATGCTCATTCTCCGATAGTATTTGACACCATTATGTTATATGTGTATAATGCCTTGTATTGAAATTTATGATTATACTTATTTAATTAAATTTAACTTAAAAAAAGTCAATCGCTTCTTGAAATGATAATTCATCAATTGAATATTCTATCTAAAGAAAAAAAGAGTATAATAGTTTTCGCTAATATAACGTGTAGTTGTAACACGTCACGCGTAGCTACGTCAATTGCTGCCATAAACAAAACATCTTATTTTACGTAGGCAACACTAGTTTCGACAAAGCACTATTCAGGAAAATAGTTTACTTAGTTTACTTAGTAGTAATTTTTCTTCCATAGGTGCCAGGATATTTATTAGTAAAATCCTACGGTTTTGTGCTGTTGTGTTAAAATTTTGACTTATATTCCTCGTAGTGAAGTGTCACTTGTGTGACCTAATTTCTGGCGCAACAAGTTGGATACCTCTACTCATGACACGAGCAAAAAACTATATTGACTGACTCACTACATAATATATTCAAACATTAAATATACATTCCAATTTTAAATGAATAACTTTTTAAAGCACAATTTTAAAACACAACATATTTTAAATTCTCTTAAATAAATACATCAGCTAAGCATTTTCTTAAAAAGATATTATGATAGTCATCAATTTTTTTTTTGATAAATTAAAATTAATATACCTTAATTATCATTTCATGAAAATAACATCGATATAATTTAATTAAGTATATACAATCAAGTTAAGATGAATAACATTATTTTTTAAATTGGTTTAAAAAATAAATGTAAAATAACAATAAATTACAATTACAATTTTGCTGCTCTAAAGCTCAAAATGTAATGTATTTTACATTTATTTCTATTTTATTCGAGTTAATGCGTTGGTTTATATGTTACATATGCAAGACAACTGCTAAAACTCGAAAAAACTTGATTCGTCCTTTTTGTGGTAGTACTATATATACACCGTCATAGGCTTTTTTAGTTTTAGTTTATATTTACAAGTACTTTATTTTCATATGAACATTGAACACACATCCTTATACATTTACTTTAAAACTAACATCAAAAATTGGTAATGTTTACATTTTTATGGTTTCGTAACCTAAACCTTTTATAACAACACCTGTATTAGTAAATTATCTTACAGTATAATTTAATACAAGCTCCTTTATAATATAATGTACTTATATACTTTAAAATATGGCACTAACATTCATTTTTATAAAATAAAGTTGCTACCAATATACTCCACTTCGAAACGATTAGTCAGTACACGAACATTCAATGTTTACTTGTACTGTGTAAACAATAAAAATGTTATATACAATCACAGACAACATTCACTTACATAATGTTACATCAGTACTTATTAGACCGAAGATTTTCACAACCAATTACTTCTCAGTAGATAACTTATAAAAAACGATAGAGAGATGCACTTTGAAGCGTTTTGAACGTTAGCTGCGGTGCTCGTATTATCAGGGGAGTCCCGGATGCTAAATTTGTAGTTACTCAAGCGTCGTAGGGAGTAACTAAATCTGAAGATTTGGTGATAGAAAGAAAAAATGACTTTATGACATTTCATTTCTCCGGTGGGAGTAAGGGGGAATGATAGTTTATAAAAATTGTAAGGTGTAACTTTTGTTTTAGTGCACGAGCGTGACTGATATTAATTATGTATATTCTCCATTAAGTATGTCTGACAATGAAAATATTTTAATCTGCCGAATTGCATGGTGGGGTTGGCTGAATAAGAGGATAGAAATGGGACTCGTTCAAAATTCTACCACTGTTGTAAACCACGATGAAATCGGCTGATTTTTTAAACGCCCTTTCAGTGACATGACACCCACCTAATCTGACGAAAACGACTGTATTTAGTTATTATTTTATATTGTTATCCCCCCCTCTTCTCTATTTACATTAAGCATATGATGGGTATATTCATCTGTTTACTAAATATTCCCCATAATGTTAATCTGACACGCTCGAGTAACTACCGAAATTCCTTCATGGGCTCCTCTAATATAAGGAAAAAAATCAACTCGCAGCCGGTCACGTTCACAACATGCAAAGCTTAGCAACACTAATACACCTTTCTGAATCATATTTATAAGTAATCGACTGAAAAGAAATAACTGACAAAATAAGTGCCTAGCAATAAGCCGGGCTGTTACCCTTTTATGTTAATATCACAAATACTATCACACTGTTCACATCCCGAGAGCTCCTGAATGACGCATTTGTCAGATCTACACGTGCCTCGTGGTACTCCAGGAAATGAAATACATACCTAGAAATAATATATTAAAATGTAACACGGAACATATAAATAACTTTCACATCTTTTATTCCCTGTCGTAGAATGCAGACGTGCACATTTACAATACAAGAGAGTGGGTGTACCTTTTGTGATATATCGGGCACAATAAATTCTAAGCCAGCCTCGTGGTCTTACTGTTTTCTTTTTCTCAAATTTATTGAAAAATTGCTCCTTTTTTAAAAGTCTGTGCAACGCACTTGGAACGTTTCTGGTGTCTGGGGTGTCCATGAGCGGCGCTGATTACTTACCATCAGGTGAACCTATTGATAGTTTGCCTCCTATTCCATTAAATAGTATCTCGAAAACTGCTCAGAGCCACATGCCAATTCAACAACTATTTCATAATAATATATTATGTAGTCTGTTTTGATCCATCCGAACCACACGAAGGACTTGCACTTTGTGTACAGCTTGTCTATTGCACCAATTCTGGAGAATATTTAACTGCCGGAAGTACCAGACAGGACGTTTGGTTGATAACATTCAGGGGGCATCAGAGCTGATGCTATGCAATTTAAAAAAAGGTGTATTTATTTCTTCTGTAAAATTTACGTAAATGGTAATGAAATGAAAGTGATCCTTAAACCCTCAAACTATCTACTTGTGCACACAAAATGGGTGTTTGATAACTGTATGAATTCTAGTGAAGACTATACAAATATTAATAATCATGTTAATACTTACTTTCACTATTTTAGGCATCGTGGTCACTCTGTGGTTGAGTTTCGTGAGGTCGCCCATGGGAAGGGCGGCCACGGTTTCTTTTTCGAGGATCTTGGACTTTTTGTGCTGGACGTGTCTGATCATACATTTTTTTTAATTCTTCTATTCGATAAGGTTGTGGACGTGGTCTTGTCAGTGGAGTACTCTTATGTTCTTGATGCTCATGACCTCTAATAGGGCCACCAGCTACGGGAGCGGTTCTCGGAGTGTGCGGAACTGGTGCGCTACGGTATTCTGATGGTAGCGTAGGCCTTGTCCGCCTTGTCTCTGCTGAATTTGGTGCAGTCGCGTTGGTGACTGTTGTAGTTGTTCTATTTCTGTGTAGACAAAATAACACTAAGAGACTAATAAAACATTATTTAAGTAAAGTTCGCACATAAAACGTAATGTTTTTTTATATTTAAAATATAAATACTTAACTATTCTGTAAGATAGAGCCCACTGAAAACTTTATCTTTGTATATTAGTAGTGCATTATAATAAGAACGCGGTTGAACGTTTTTGTTACTTCCCATACATGACTTTCGGGCTTCATACAGACTGGTCGTGTTCATTCGTCGTCTATATTAATTGCTTTTTGCTAGGCAAGTTCGTGGCCAAACATTGACCTCACTTAATTGTCGGCTAAGCAAAAACCTCTTCTCACTTTGAGTAAAGGTGTCAATGAACACGCGTTTCAATAAGACAATACAACCCTGCAATTGCGTATGAGCAAGCATAATGTATTTGACGATCGCCAGTGGACGTTGCTTTATTATCACCTTCCCAGAGGTGGTCGCGTGGCGTAAGTGCGGCGTTTGTTAGATTGTGTAATAGTTTGGTTACTTTTATTGCTTACATACCTGTGTTTCTGAATTCAGTTAAGCTTTTGTTTGTTTTGCTCTGGTACTTAATTGCTATTGATGTTTAGCTTGTATAAGCTGCTTGCTATTCGCGAAACATGTAAGTAGACAGTAGAACGCCAATGTAAGGCCCTTTCTTGGAAGGTGCCCATTTTGGAACATTCATCCAGGCCGTTATGTATATACGTGTATGAACTTTAGCGATATTTAAAAATAAATGATTTTTATTTCTTTTTTTCACATGGACAATAAGTAAAATGGCATATGTTTTAGTTAAGCGAAAGCAAACTAAGTGATTTTGATGATTTTGACTGTAAAATAATATAATTATATGAAAGTACTTACGTCGGTTGTAGGGGCGTAGAATTAGCTAACGATTGTAGATAACCTGGAAGGTTCTGCCTCAGGTAATATTCATAGATAGATCTGAAGTACGGGCTGTCTCTAAAGTCTAAATTTCCATAACTGGTAGCGTATGGAAGTGGTGGTGGTGGGGCTGCTGGTATCGTTGGTGGTGGAGCGACAACACCACCTGTGAACAAAAGCGAATGCTTTTTGCGAATGCTTTTTGCGAATGATATCAGCGCCGCCAATGGACCAACAACGGAGGCTAGCAACAAAGGAAGGGTCATGAGTGCGTTGCTAACTTCTTGGAAATTAAGGCTTTGGAGATTTAGGGACGGGGAGGGGAAGAATCGGGCCTTGGGTAGCATAGTTCTACTGTATCTATTAGACACATTGTTTATAATTGTTGTGGCTTAGGTCATAGTGACTTTGACATTTAACGTACCTGTAAGGGTCTAATTGAAATAAATGATTTTAGACTTATGACTTTTGAGTGATTCTAAAAAAAAATTTTATTGTGGAAGTGATTGGAAAATAGTTACCATGGAGGACATGGGCTTGACTTGTACTGGGATAATCCAGAAAGTATGTTTTTTTTTTGTTAAGTTTATTTCGGAATGCGACTCTATGGATTAAAAGGCTGAAATTTATATTCAAAATTGCATTACAATATATGAACAATATTTTACTAGAAAATGTATAGAGAACATGAAAATTAGAATTAGTGATTCCATACCTCGGTTAGTCTCATCCAATCTCGACATTAATGTTGCCAAATCTATGTTGGATGCAGGATTAGCTGTTAGTGGGAATCCCATTCCAGCGGCCCTGTACAAATAAAATTGGCCTTGTTAACACAGTTAAATTTAATTCAATCACAGATATTTTAAAAATAATCTTAACTTAAATTTCTAAGATAAAGTAAAAGCACCAGGTAATCGAACCGAAGTACCAGTCTGAAGAAGTCGCGTTTGTGAATAGAATATTGGCACATTTTACGTCACACTCTTAGTAAGCGGTGTTACTACCAAGAATGACAGGTTTTTAAAACTGGTCTGTATGGATGATATAATTTAGTACTTATCCACGAAACATAACAAACTGTAAGAAATAATACGTGCAGCTTCGAAAATGATGATTCTTGACCAGCAATCACATTTCGTACTGTAAGCAGATACGTTAATAATATTGTGGTAGAAGAGAATTAAAGGCGATTGAGATGAAAAGCTATTTATCTATTTATTTGTGGAATTACCTTTGGCCTGTAGGGTAAGAGAAGCTTGCTGACGTTGGGTTCGGCGGTGGTGTATAAACACCTGTGAAGAAATAACTTTTATTACTGTTTGTTTTTTGCATTATTATGTGCTTTGTTTGGGCGGTTCGAATTCATGACTAAGATTATACACGCTTGAATAAAAGTCTCCAACCTTGAAGTACGCTTGAGGTGGCTGGACTCCAATGTATCCTGTTTCTGTCTTAATCTTCAAATAACCCTAGGGCATGCCTCGTTTCGTTTCCCAGCTCCATCTTCAGCTTCACCAGGTATCCATCGATGTTGTCAGTTTATTGTAGCCCCTAGATTTTTAATACACCATACCCACCGGCAACTTGGGCGGGAGAAGTCATTTGATGATTTTCCCCTCACAAAAAAACCCACCGGCAACTTAGCTAAGAATAGCGACGCGACCGAGAACTCGGAGCTGCTTTGTATTTGTTGCACCTATAATCACACCGTTGGAAACTTGGAATGGCTGGTTGCTGATCACAAAGCACGCATTACCTACTGATGTTGCTGGCCTCGAGTCTGCTGCAGTGACTGAGTTCGCTAATTTGCAAGATGATTACAATGCACTAGCATATAAATTTGACTGGGGCACTTAATTTTGTGTCCCTTAAATCTGGACTGCACTTTGCAAACAGTAAAAACACAAGAAACTTGGCAAAAACGCAATATCTCACTTTCGCAGTCAGTCATTTTAGGTTATGGATTTCGTCATGTGTTGAAAATAAATAAAAAAAAATACCTTCAAAATACGCTTGAATGAATAGACAAATTTGTTACACAAATTGGGTAAAATAACATATTGTTCCGTTCAAAGCAGCGAGCACAGCAATGTATAATAAAATAATGTATTATTCGCCAAGCGTAGAGCTGCATGCTGATGCATCATAACAATAGCAATGGCACAACAATCCATCGACGCATGGCCACGAAATAATATTATTATTATATTTATTCCTTGTTATATTTATACCTTACCTCGCGCAATTAGATTTAGTCGACTCAAGGAGGTCGCTAAGTCTGAGATGTAAGCAGCAGTCGCAGCCAGTGTCTGCAAATTTTCCGTTCCAGTTTCTCTGTACAAGTAAAGTTGTGATTGTCAACTTACTGCAAGTTTTCCATTATTTAACCATAATAGATTAGTTGTAGAAAGATAAAATATTAAAAAATGATAATTTAGAATTTTCGACTGACAGTTTGCGGTTATTAAGGATCTACCCAAGGTCAAATCTTATTTAAACAATAATAATTATTATTTATAATAAAAGAAAGCTTGCTGTTTTGCCTTAATGCGAGTTTTAATAGTGTCATGGTGTTGAGATTTAAGTGTGTGTTAAAGCAAAATACTTCCTAGTATACACATAAGCCAATATTGGTTTTGTCGAAAAAAATACCTTTCAATGTTGTAGGTATTGCTATATTACATAAAAAAATAAATTGATATACACCTATATAAAATAAACCATACCTTGAATGTGACATTTATTTGAACTTTCAATTGTATTAAACTTACTTCAATTGAACTTACTTAGAAGATCAGTTTCAAAGACGACGTTCAAAGTTCACGTCATAGGCTTAAAGCTATGCATGATAAGGTTTTAACGCACTCAAAACAGAAATAATTTGATAGAGAAATACCAAAAAAAAACATCTAGAAGATTTAATATACGTGGTTATATATGATGGAGTGTTTGTGGTGTGTTTATGAATATAAGCGTATTAGATGAAGTTAGTTCGGTCTTTGTCGTCAAAATACCTGTTACTGGCTGTCGCAGACACTGACGAATACGTATTAATCGAACATAAAGCTGTGAACAAATAGGGAATCTCTTAGACAAAAAATGTTAAGGGTACATTATTACATATTGATCATTTAGAGTAATTTTATTATCTAAAATTCTGGTGTTAGTTGTTAGTTAGTACAATGTTAGTTACCTTACTACCTTGAAACGTCTTTACTTAAGCCTTTGACTGCCGACAGAAAACTATTAAGATTTATAGGAGGCTAATCCTCCGTTACCGTAGGTCACCAGTGACCTAAACTAAACGGTTAGCGTGTTATTTTTACCAAATTTTACCATATTTATCAGGTTTGAGAATTGGCTACTGGCTGTTTTTAAAACCCCTAAGTGATAAGGGCCAAAAACATTTTTCGTCAAAATAAATTATATTTTATATGGCGAAACGACTTTCGCCTGGTCTATTTTTGAATAATAGTGTCTCTCTAAAATGATCAGCTTGTGTCATACAAAATTTTGAAAGACGATGATTTTGCCATTAACATTTTATTGACAACATAATAATATATCGGCAGAGAAATTAATGTTACGTGTAAAGTCTCCGCACGACAAACCATTTCTTTACTCAACAAACGCAACAGGTCCTTGGTAGTATTAAACGTCAACTAGCAAAATCGCTTGGTATTTAATTGTACACTGTTGCACGTCGATGCTTGCCTAGCGTATCAAAAAAAAAAAAAAAAAAATGAGCTAGACTACTCAACAATTATGTTTCATTGGAAATATTGAAATTGTTACAAGCAACGCTTCCTTACCTTCAAAAGTCTCGTTGATTTTTGCGAGTAAATTGGCGAGTTCAGATACGTGTCTAATGCCTGTGATCAGCGTTCGGAGTAACTGCTGCTGTTCCAAAACCGATGATCTGTACAGAGAAAATTGGTTGCCTATTTTCGTAGGATTAAAGGATTTGCATTTTTATTCATCGTCATCAGCTGAGCTAAATTGTACAAACGTCTCTTTTCACGTAGACGTAGAGTAGGTATTATTCACTACGCTTGTTCAAGTTGGAAAGACGATACCAGACTTATAATAGACGCTTAATTCAAAATACCTGCTAAGGTGCGAACTTGTAAGAAATGGTGGGATTCCCGCACTGTGTGTATTCTGGGCTGAACCTGTGGACAAAATTATTAATAATTGTTTGATACTTAATTATTAAAGATTATTAAGGACTTTTTTATGTGCAGTAAATAATTGCTTTCCTTTGTTGAGATGGTGCGGATTTTTATTCGTAAAAACGGTTTTAAAATAACAATTACAATTTGAAATAAACTACGACGTAATAAGAAATTTTGATTTACTGATCAGGATCCTATAACCGCTATGAAAATCCTCAACAGATCCTATAACATCATCAGCCTATAACTGCCCACTGCCTCCAATTCCTCTATACACAAGAAGAATGTAAGGTAAGGTAAGGGGAGTATTTAGCAGCGATTTGTACCTTATCAATAAATAAGTACCTAATAAACAAAAGCTTTGGCTTTCACGCGATTATTCACTTCACCATACATAATATGTAGAAAAAATAATATTTTATGGTCTTATTTACCAAATTATGTTTACCTGAGAAAAATAAAAGTAAATAATTATATTATCTGTTTCTTTTGTGGCGCAATTCTGCATGTGCGTCTACGGATAATCTCATAGTGAGCAATCGGTGCCAAAGGCGTTACGAAAAGTGCGTTCTGGCATCTTGTTGACTAATTCGGAATAAAATAAAAAGGGATTTGAAGATTTAGATTGGGAGGGAGGAGGCGGTTTGGGTTTCCGGTAACCTCACTCACACGGTGAAACACAACTTGAGTGTGAGATCACTCCGGTCAAGCCAGCTCATTTGTAATGAAATATGGCTCTCCCATTAATTATAATATAATTACAATATTAAAATAACACAAAAAAAACCTAATATAAAACAGAGAACAAAATAAAAACATGCTGCCTAAGCCAGAAAGGTTGTAGAAATGGACGCTGTATTACACCTCAGTACACAATGTTTCATTTTGTTTATTTTAAAATAACCAATGCGTTAGAAAAAAATAAAAGTTCTAAAAATATTAATGTTTTCGGTGGTTTTCGGTCATTGCGGCTTCAGAGAAAATTGGGCAAAAAAGGTTTACACATTTTGACCTAAATATATTTTATTGATTTTGCATCCTAGTACATACTCGTACTAGTGCTATATTTCTTATGACAAACTAGTTTCCGTACCTAGTAATAGATTTTCAAACCTATTTCGTCTGGGAGAAGGCCTTTTTTCAGCAGTAGGTTGGTATTTATAGGCTGATGATGATGATGAATCCCAATACACTTTCCTCACATTAGGTTAGTTAATTAGTGGATATTTTTTACTCAAACTCAGTTTATCAGACATCAGTTGCTCAGACATTTAAGTATAGTTAAAAAAAAACATATTTAGAAAATACGCTTTTTATGATGTATTTTTAACATCCAAAAAATAAGTTTATTCTCAGTTCAATATGTTTACTAGGCAGCCCCAGGTTTCATCAGTCTTTGTTTTATTACATCAACAAACTAACTCAAAGATAAGTACCATAATATTATAAAGTCAGTGATACACACTGATCATAAGAATATATAGTGATCAATATTTGTAGACTTATTAAAACGCAATGGATAAAAATAGATTGTTTCGTACCTCTCAGTGTCTCGTCAAGGTGAAACAACGACGACAAATATTCTGTAGCGGATGTGGCAGTTGCTGCTGCCATTGTACTATCATTTCCCAGTAGCCTGTATGAAAAGCGAAAATTGCGATAACGAAATAGCGTATCTTTTAAAAATAAAATTGAATGAATATAGAAATAACACACATATCATTGATATATATATATAAACATACAGTCGGACCTAGAATGTTACCTTGGGCAACTCCAAAACTAACATTTTTTCAAACGACACTAACTTAAACTTATTTGTTATAACATATTGAAAACGGTTATTTGGATAATCAGTAAAGTATAAAAAATCTAGCTTGTTAAGAATAGAAGCGGTAGATCACTTCTAACATATCCCTAGCATCAAAAGCTTTAGTAAGATCCATAAACATTTTTTGTAAGTGATTTCTTCTGTAATAAAATCTGTGATTGTATAAAATGCTGACAAGTTAATTCCAAAACTAAACTGCAGCAATGATAAAAAAGAACAGCACGCGGATTCTGTAAAATTTGTTTGATTTTGAAATCAAACGTATTTGAAGTGACGGTGGAATTACTTAATAAAATGCCACTTTAAACGTCATCTCATACTTTATCTATCAAAATGTTAAGGTCAATTTAGCTCAACTCGCATGTGTAGCGCTAGTGTACTACTATTCACAGCGGATTCTGATTCGAAGTTTAGAATAAAGTCTTACAGAATCACACTGCAGGTTCCCTTTTTTTGAGTTTACTATTATGATATCAATAATTCCTCGAAAATAAATGGGCAGTAGCGAGAAAGGCTAAGTAACAATTCTAGATTTTTAAGAAAATGTCACAAACAACCTCACTAAAGAAATTTCATTCCTGTTATGACTCATGCAATTTTACGCTGGTATATTTCTGGTAAGTAAAACATATAACTTTTCCGTATTTAAATATGGTAAAGTTGTATTTATCCGGTTTCAGAGTGTAACTGCATATGTATGTTGACTTTATTCCAACGTTTAAAATATAGTTATTTACGTTGTAAGCAAACAAACGCAAGCTCAATAAGTAAATTCACTTTAAGATTTGTGACGTAATTCATTGAATACTGTAGACTTTCATCTATAAAATTCAATATTATTAAATTGAGCAGTTTGTTTCTTTAATAATCTGTAAAACTATTGTTCAAAGTTAAAGTAATTTTTTAAAGTAGATTATTAAGCTCTTAATAATTATCGTAAAAGTGCGCGGCAGCAGATAATAAGCGGTGAAATGAAATGCTGCCTTGTTTGTATAATACCTGTTTCCATGTGTCGCTGATAAATTCGGATATGGTATTCCACTTGTACCTGTGAATAGATCATCAGTTGTTTACACGAGTAAGCCATTCATTGGTGTAAACCGACCGGAGTAATTATTATAAATAAACTCTAATGCAATGCAATGTACTCTAATGTACAAAGTAGAAATTTCGTATTCATAACTCATGCTAACTTTTCATCAATAAATTTGTTCACAAAATTAAAAATTTACATACCTTGCGAAGCTCCACTAAATCTAGAACTTAAGTCCAATGCATCCGTCTGATCCGAGGTTCCTCTGAAGCCCGCCCTTAGGCTGTGGTGTCTGTCTGATCCCTGGAGCCTATGCAAATATATATTTTTTTATAATCTCCGTAAACTGCATTTTATTTGCCAACAAAATATCATTTACTAAAAAGAAATGTTGATACCACATAATTATAACAGTGTAGAAATGTTGATAGAAATGAATGTTTAAATATTTAACTTGAGCGCTAGCGATGCATTTACTGCGACCTTAAATTTGCGTTCCATGCTTAAAAAGTATTTGTATGTTATAGGAGGCAAATGACTTGATCGCAAGGGACCATCACCGCTTATGGACAGGTTTGTTACCAGCCTTCTAAGAAGGAGTACACGCGTTTCGTTTTTTAAGGTCTTTGGAAATACCGCCGGGAAAAGATCATTCCAAAGTTTGGCTTTTGGCAGGGATCAAACCAAACAAAGCCTCAGAACATTGGCAGTACTATTAGCGAGTGAAAGTTAGTAAGAATAGCTCTAGTAATAATTACTCACATCATTTGGTAAGAAGTTGTTGAAGGGCACAGAGGCGCATTTCCACCTGTAAAAAAGTCATCAATCAATACATAACTTGCTGAGGACCACATACTAATATTAATATTTGATGCTTAGTAGATCCTAGCTTTTGCCTGCCACTTTGTCCTAGTGAGATAACGATCTCCGGCAGAATTTATTATTTTTGTATCAAATGTCGTCAGAATCAATTTGGTACTTAGGTTTATTTGAGATCATAACAGTCTGAGCTCTTGTCTCCAACTCTCAGCGATGTCACCTTAACTATGCATATCAAATTAGTCCTGTGTCCCAAAACGCAATGAAGAGATCTGTCTCTCATAACGACATTCAAGTTGACAGGGTATTTCGCATATCCATATAATATTATTAGTTTTTCTACCAGTAAGTTTAAAATCTCCACGTCTACTCTAAGTTAATGACCTTTTTGAAACTTGGGCTTCTTTAACTTCTTTAACATCCGCCTTAGGCAAGTATTACTTCCATTCATCAGGTCATACTCAAATAGCAGCCCTAAATAACTTTGGTATTGTGTACTTGTATTGATTTATAATGTTGTGCAAAATGATGGCGAAATGTGGCGACAAACTTATAAAAAGATTATAATAGTCTACATATTGTTATGGATGACAATATCCTATCCGGTGTATAGCAAATACTAATGTCTAATAAAGAACATCTTAGGGACTCTTAGGTTGAAAATTTTATTACATACTGTGAGCAATGGGATAAGTAGGTGTCGGCCGATGAGGGTGTTGTGTATGGGCGTTTTGGTGATAGCTTGGCACTTGAGCTCCATATATCTCGTTATATATCGTTCTTGGTACTGGATATTGTTGTGACATTCCTGCATACGTCGATGTAGGGACTTGGTATGTGGGTGCAGCCAAGTAATAAGTAACTGGTACTGTATCAGCCGTTGAGGTCCGGGTGGATGGAGTTACGTTCTGAAACGTCATTCTGTCTGTTGCTACTGTTCCTCTACTCGATGTTTACAATGGTATAGATTTTGATGCTCCAGAATAAGATGAAAAGTAATTTTCGAGTTTTCTTAGAAGACGTTGTTAGCGTTCAGATCTGTCAACAAAGGCAATATAATTTTAAATAAGCATTGAACGAACAAAAGAAAAACACAATTATTTATCAAAACTCAAGATGCAGGAAAAATCATACGAGTTAAGACATTATTTTACAAAACATAACAACTATGTGTATGATTAATAAAAAACAAATAAAATAAAAAAACTATATTTTATCAATTGGTTAAATCTGAAAACAAATTATGAAAAAACACATGCTTATGCCAAAAAGATTAAAGGAGAACGAGAATCTTTGAAATAGTTCTTGATTTTAGATAAATGAGGTAAAGTGTTTAAATTGGAAATTGTCAGCGATGGAAATACCGAAGATATCTAACGCTGAGAATACATTGTATGACTGTTTCGTATCTCTTCTAACATCCATTCTTTCTATTATCAGCTTATTGTGTGCTTATAAGAATTTGAGGATTGGGGATTTAGTGGTAAGGCATGGGGGGACGGAAATCACTCACATCCCGAAACAAAACCTAATTTTACTTAACGCTGGTATTCAGTAAGGGCTATTAAACCAGCCTACTCAAGAAACGAACGAGTCATCAAGTGTCAGAACTGTAATATTGTAAAAAAACTACTTCCCCGAAGTCCGAAGATTCATTTCAATTTACAAATATTATAGAAACAATTAATATATTTAAAAGCGCTTTTACAAAATGAAAATCGGTAAGTGGTTAGCGCTGATTAAAGTTGAACAACGCGCGTTTCAGGATTTATAAATATCGAAAAGACTACAATACAATATACTTTACAGGTGGACGTTCATCGAATTTCATCTCAACACTCGTCATATTTATGTGTCATTTAATCGAAATAAGATACTTAATATAACTTAATTAAGAAATAACAAAAAACGTGGTCGTCGGAATGAGGTTTTATTGTTTTTCCATTTTGTGCATAATAACATAAACAGTCGATTATTTGCTGTTTATTTTTGTGTGATACGCCTTTAAACGAGCAGTCAGATTATTTGATGGTAAGCAAAGGCCGCTGCCTACAAATAACCGCAACACCAGAGGTGTTGGCCACATTATGGGGTTTTGAAGATTCAAGGAATAGGGAAAGATAGGGAGGGGTGTGAGGATTGAGCCTCCGGTAGCCTCACTAACTAACACGGCGAAACACAACACTGTGGTTATTTTACGCCGGTTAACCGTAAGGCCGTGATATCACTCCGGTCGGGCCGACCTATTCATGCTGATGCTTAGCGCTCCCATATCTAAGTAAGTTAAGATAAAGTCCGTAATTTAAGACCAAACCACCACACCACTACCTCTGTACCAAATTTTATTTATATCTATTCAATGGTTTTGAGGTGAAAGAATAACAAATATGCATCCTTAACCCTTATTAACTACATATTTATTTAGGTATATATGATTATGTGCTATAAAATATATCATGAAATTAATATTTTGTTTATTATCAAAGCATGTCTCGCATAGCGGCTTGTCTTTGTTAGTCACTTCAATAGCCAAGAAGTCGAATTCAAATAACTTGACATCCTTCAGACCAATATACTACTGTACCATTACTTAGATTAACTTCTAGGAACAGTCTTAGTTTAACCCACTGAATTGACTTCCAAGATTAATGGCACAGTTTGCTTTAGTCGTGCTTCTCTATCAAGAACATCCTACCACGATTAGTTTTGATAAAAGTTAGCGTTTTCTTGAGAGTTGACATCGCTGGTTCTAGCTATTAGTAGGACAAAAGTTTATTAGCTTGTGACCTATAGTTACGGTAGGTTGCAAAGTCTTATTAACTGAATCAAAGTAACTATGGCTTTATTGACATAACAAATACAGTGAGAAGTACTAAATGTGACCGTCTCTTTAGTAGGTAACACATGATATGTTTCTCTTAGTGCAATCTGTGGAAAAATAAACTTATCAGGTATATGATATCATTGAGAGAGCCCCTTGATCGACACACGGTCAGTCTTTTTGTTCTTTATCCCTACTAGACGTATATTACTAACGAAGAGTGACGAGCTGGATAGGCCTCATTAATTTTTAACTTTTATCAGTTGGTGGTAGATTTTACGTTTTGGTTTTTAGAAGTATGTTTCTTTAAACGTGGTTGAGTCTTCCTTAAAGTAAATTTACATCAGGAGACCAAACCAGTGTAAATACAAAGAGGTGTAAGACAGTCTCTCTCCAAAACTCTTCACACTGGTACTAGAGGATGTCTTTAAAATGTTACACTGGAGTGATTGCGGCATCAACATCCAGGGCAAGAGACTGAATAACCTTAGATTTGCTGACGACATCGTACTGTTCGCAGACAATCCAATTGACCTTGAAACCATGATACAGGAACTTAGTAATGCTTCGGCTCGGTGCGGTTTGGAAATGAATCTGTATAAAACCAAGGTCATGACGAACTGTTCCAACACCACCACATCCATCAACGTAAATGACGCCATTATTGAGAGAGTGCCTAAATATGTGTATCTGGGTGACCTAAATATGTGTAACTGACAAGAAGTGGTAATGGGAAAAGACAACCAAGCCAACGAAATGAATAGGCGTATAAGATTGGCCTGGGCAGCCTACTCCAAACTTGAGTTCGCCTTCCGTATGAACATAACTGCTAAACAGAAGGCGCGCATAAATATGACCAGTGTTTACTACCGGTGCTCACATACGGTGCTGAAATTTGGGTGTTTACAAAGGGCATCCTTCAAAAACTCCAAGTCGCCCAGAGAGCAGTAGGTTAGGTACGTGCTGGTAGGCGTTACGCTGAGAGACTGCAAAAGAAACCAGTGGCTAAGACAGAAGACCAAAGTCAAGGACGTCGCACAGCATATTGCAAAACATAAGTAGGAGTAGGCTGGTCACGTTGCATGCAAACAGGGTTCGTGGTGCAGAGCCGTAGAGTGGAGACCGTGGGGCGAAAAACGTCCACATGGAAGACAACAGATGCGTTGGTACGATGACATCAAACGAACAGCTGGCACGAAGCGGATACAAATTGCTCAAGACCGAAAGAGATGGCAGAAACTGAAGAAGGCCGACACCTAAGGAGGCATAAACTTTCTAAAATATGTTGGTTGCTCTCAATATCCTTGAGCAGATCTCTCACTACGTGTCATCGGTATAAAGGGCCAGAGCCAGATTAGAGATTGTTGAGTAACATAATATACCTATAATCAATTATGTTACTCAGATATATTATTGTAAGATATTACAGAGTAGTATTAAAGTGCCTATAATCTGATGGCTTACATCCCTGCTAAACAAGCTAGGCCTAACGGCCAATTACGATTTTTTTAAAAAAAAAAAACGTTGCCCCACTTTATGATTTTCTCCTGTGTTGTGGGTGCGTTCATAAACATACAATGTCATATACACATGACACCCAGACCCGAAACAACAATTTGTGGATCACACAAAGTGTTGTTCCGTGCGGGAATCGAACCCGCCACACGTTGCACGGCAGCCAGTTGCCCAGCCACCGCACCAACCCTGCAGTCTAATTCCCTGTTATCAGCTGTTGTTATCTTTCTAGATACAGAAGACAGCATTTTTCTAATACTCTATGTATATTCTAAACATAATCCTCTTTCGATAAGTCAAAACAAAATACATAAATGTTTCTTAGAGTTAGCAAGTATCATAGTCCAGTTAAAACCTCTTTTGTCCAAAAAAACATTTAATTCAAAAATGCTTGCTTTTTTCAAAATACACATTTTTTTCATACACGCCACACACACAAGTGAAATACTTTTTAAGTGGAAATTGATTTAGTTTCCTAAAAAGTTTCTATTTTTTATTTTGTTGGATATTCCTTTTATTTTTGAAAACAGTTTATATTTGGAAAGCATTGGTTAGGAACCGATACCACAGGTTATCTTTGTTTGGGTTCCTGAATATTACTATGCATATGTTCAGTTCAACCTGAGTGGTATCACGACCACGTTATTTTGCATTTTACCATGTGAGTGAGGTTACCTGGGTTCCAATCCTACACATCTCATATCTCTAAGCGTCTCATCCCCAATCCTTAAATCCGCACTTTATAACGCCCCAATCCTCAAATCCATAACCTATAAAAAGCAGACAATGCACTCGTAGCTCCTCTGGTGCTCCGAGTCTTGAGTGTGATCCTTCCTTATAATAGAAAAAAATACTGATACTCGAAATGTATTTAAATCTATAATTTATCAGTAGTCTTTTATGTGGTGACGATAGATTGCTTTAACTCTATTCTAGGCAAAACTTGAACATGTAGTTATCATATCATCGCATTCGGCGGGAAAATATGAAAGATATTACAAAAAGTACAGAAAATGATCAACTTTTAATAATTATATTATTTAAATTCTACCGTGTGATGGAAATTTCAGAACACTAATTGATAGGAAATATCTTCAATTGTATTTGCGTATGCTTTATATGAGTAATATCATTGAAATTAATCGAAATTCAATGTATGAATTACACGTATAAAATTACTTGTCAGCCACTTGTATGATCATAAAATAAAGACCTGAGCTGAGAATATTTTCGACATATTTACCTGAAATTTTTAATAACTCTTCATACAAAAGCCCAATTTTTTAAATTATTTGTACGCTATTGCATCTTTATGTACACAAAACGATATTTTTTTTTTTTTGTTGAATGTGATTAAAAAATTGAATAAACTCTTTTTTGGTATTTCATTCTAGTGATTATTTGAACATTGAAAGCTTTATACCAATATGAACAATAAAACAAACTGTATGTGCCGAAAATATGGAGTAATATAGATATTTTTGAAATATAACTTTTATGGGAAAGATATATTCATATATTTTTTTATAAAATAAAACACTTACAGGTAAATATCAAATGCGAAATTTTTTACGTTAAATAATAATTATGAAATATGATTAAAAAGTAAAATTACATTTTGTTTCTCTCATTGAATATCTAGGCTAGTTTATATAACAGTAAATGAATGGATTGTTTATTTAAATTCTTGATGGTTTCCAGTAGGAAAAATTCATTGCAATCATTCATATTGTTTTATTAACTTTTAATTTTTTCGCAATAACTAGCTTCAAGAACTATCGATGTGCTTAGATGGGGTAGCTTTTATTTGCTCCATTGATTGCATTATTAAACAAACCTTATTACAAAGGTACTTACTTTTTAATTAAAAAAGTTATTTAGAAGTAAAATGTTGAGGAAAATAATCTGTTTTGATGAACGATATTTTAAAAATTTTAGTATTTTGACTCCTGAAATTTATGACAAAATGAAGAATGTTTTTATGGACTCATATTTATAAATAGGATTGACCAGACACTTTATTAATTACTAATATAAATCAGGTAAACAAGACATAAGGCAAACAATGCATCCAACGTCTCAAGGCAAGAATGCTTCTCAATTTGTTGTATAAATTTAGATTTTTATGGAATCATTTAAAAATGTAGTTATCATTTTATAATATAAAATGGTTTTCATTAAATGCAATAGTTTTTCAGGACTAAGATAATAATATACATAGATAAGATTCCGTGATCCTAAATATCGGATCTCCGAACATTCTAGAGCTAAAAAAAATATCCCAAACTAAACATTTCCTTATACTTCCTACTCTTAACATCTCGTCTGCCGGTATAGGAGATGTAATTGGAAATACTTTGTTACTCGCTTAGATCTACGTTTCGACATACCATGAGTTAATGGTAGGGGTATTGTTGGAGACCAAAGCTCTACCAAACCCACCTGGAGGACACAGACCTGAAGCACACGGTGGCGGAGTGCCCTGCTTGGGCTGATTACCGCTGTGTTCTCAGAGATGTAATCGGCAGTGAGAGAAAGCATTTAACTCACAACCATTATCTACCCCAAATTGGTGTTGTAGATCCAAAAACTAATCAGACCATTTTTATGAGCGTTTCCGCGCCACGGGTTTTCAAACAAACTTTCGAGTTGAAAATCATGAATTCCGAGAATACATCGATATGGAAAAATGAAATTGTACTATACCTACACAACTCATACGAGTCCCAAAAGTTTTTTCGAAAATGATAGTAACTAACTTTTTAGGCTTTCTTTTTTTTGTATGAAAATTTGTGCAAAGTAAACGTTTGTTATAGTTGAGGAGTTTCTTTGAACTATTGTATAAGGCACAGATCTCTATGGACTATGACACCATCTTAGAGTAAAGTTATCATCAATACAAATTAACTTCTCCAAACACAAGTATGGGAGAGCCATGCTTCGGCACGAACGGGTGGGCTCGACCGGAGTGATACCATGGTCTCACAGAAAACCGGCGTGAAACCACCACAGCGTTGTGTTTCGCCGTGTGAGTGAGTTTAACGGAGACCCAATCCTCCTCCTCCCCCAATTCCTCCTCATTCCCAAAATCTCTAAATCCCTTATCTCCAAAAGGACGGCAACGCACTCGTTACTCGTCCTCAATCATCAGACTCCTAATGGCATACAAAGGCCAAATCTGTTCTAAGTTCTCATTAATACAAATAACTGTGGCTCAAATGCTCGCCCATTGCTGTAAATCCTCAAGGAGTCCCCGTAACAGTTCATTAAATTAAAACACTTAATCAATTAATTAATAACCTCCTAAACATTTCGAAAACTTCCCTCAATTTACCTGGGTTCCCATCATCAGATCCTGACTGATCATGTCTGATTTGATGGCAATAATCAATAAAATGAAAGTAAACTAATAAAAAAATATATTTTTTAAGAAAGGCCCACTATTTACAGAGCACAAAGTGAGCGCTAAATTTAAAAATGGCACAAAAACAATAATAAGTTATACCCATAGATACAACAATTATGTAAAAATAGAACACAGACAGGCAAAACATAGCTTAGAAACAAAAAATGCCAAACGAGTTTCTTGATAATTTATTTAAAAAATAATATTTAAATGTACAGTTACAATAAAAAAGAAGTCACATTAAAATTAAAACAACAAATTAAAGCATAGAACACAATAAAATTGTAGATTCTTTTAAAATTAATTGCTTCTCTATAGATTAACAACTGCACTGAAACTAAACAAGTAAATAATTTGAATTATTACGAACTATTTATTTCAAAAAAGCACACACACACTATGTTAGAAATATATATTATAAAACTTACACTTTTACAATTTTGAATCTGCCAATTCTCCCAATTAATTTTATAAAAAAAAAAAATCCTCAATGTTTTTTTCTATTAAGTAGTTTACGCGCGAGCCACGTCCGAGCGGCCTGAATCTCACTTATAGTATTGAAGGGCTAGGCAGCTGCGCGCCCCGACAGTACCGCGTTGTTTGACGACCGAACAACTTGTACTGTGCGAATTACATGCAGAGCCCTACTACCACTGGACAGTAACATCCTGGCGTTACTCGCTCTACGAATGCACGATAGTGCTTTGTTAATCTGCTTATAGTACACAACAGTCTTTATTTTCATCCTGAAACCAAAAATGAAACGTACATCGTTTAAAAATAATGATTATTTTAGTGTTTTATTTTATAAATAGGACTATTGTATAAATAGATACCTGTTTTAAACCTTCAATAGATATTATTTACTGTTCAAAATTGAAATATCATAGCATATCTTTTTTTTAAATGCGTTGTTGTTCTTTTTAAACTCCTTTGTCATAATTGAAAACTTTATTTAGAATCGAGTTATGCAAAACTATTATTAATATGTCACTTGACTGGTTTTCTTTTGACTTACTTTTCTCTATGAGAAGTTTTACTTTATATGGCTTTACAATATTCTGATTGAAAAATAATCTTGTGACTATCTTTAGTTTTAAGTAGATGCTAAGATGTCTATATTAAATAATTTTCGTTATAATTTACATAACATATTATCTATACTAATATTATAAAGGGGTAAAATTGTAAGTTTGTATGTAGGGGGAAATCTTTGGAACCGCTAGTGGGATTTCCAAAATTCTTTCACTGATAGAAAGCTACAATATTCCTGTCTATATAACATCACGCTACAATCAAACGAAGCCAGCGGGTGGAACCGCGTCAGAGTAGCTAAGTACGATAAAGTTTTTAATTGTTAAAAATGGAAATTAATATTTGAACGTTACTGGATATTTGATTTTTTTTATTTATCTTTATTATATCACAAAACGGTTGCAATGGATTGAAAGTGGGTTCAACGAGTCTCTAAACAATACAATTCAATTAACTTTTTAAACTACAACTTAAAATATTTTTAAATAATTAAAATCTAATTTACGATTTTAATTGTTTTGATTTGTTTCACTGTTCAATAGACAATGTATTCTATTTTTTGTTATGATTTATCAGCAAAATAGTTTGTGGCTCTAAGTACTTGATTCTACCAGAAGCCATAAATCGTTACAGCTTATTATAGCCTATGCCACTATTACAACTAGCCAGCTATTGTGTGAATGACATGTTATAAGCCTTGGAGGCCAGAGAGCCTAAAGCTAGCCTGACCTGTCTGCACCTCGATTCTCAGTGTTTTATGAAGAGGAGAGTTTCCATCTACACCATCATTGTCTCATTTTCAATAGA